TGCATATAATTAAAACATAGAGGTTCTGATACCACTCTTGGGGTTTCTATGCATCTATACAAACGATCAAGGTAGCAAAAACAAAACAGAATACATATGTGTAGATGCACCCTAGGATCTAGGTTTTACTAGTTATAGCAACCTACTTATTAAAACTATTAAGCTAGTAAGAAAATATAGAATTACTAACCTCTTGTGTAGCTTGATCTTGATCTTCTTGAACCCTTCTTGAACCTTATTGATCCCATCATGTTGCTTGGATGAAAGGACCCAACGGAGAATACCTCTAATGGAATCACATCCAAGACTCCAAAGAGAGAACCAAAAGAAAACTAGGAGAGGGTCAAACTTCTACAAACCCTATAAAGGGTTGAGAAATTCGTCCACTATGAAGAGAGGAGAGACGTTGGCGAAAATCTCAAGCCAAGGTGCAAGGAGGAATGAAACCCTTATCACCTTATTTATAGCCTTAAATCCCTTGCCATGTTTCATCTCCCATCCCATATGATACGGAGATGATTTTCGAAATTCTACTCCCATCCAATGTGGGATGGAAATTTCGAATTCCCTTAGGTCGTGTTTGTTTCGCATGATTCCTAAGGAATTAAAAGGAATTGGAAACTAAAATCAAGAGGAAAACATGTTTCGCTTATCAAATGAATGGAATTAGATTTCCATAATAACAATTTAATTCCTTATTTGAAAGACTACTAATTCTTCCACCGTCCAAAAAGAATCTAAATTCGATTCCTTATCGTTTGTTTTAAATTACACAACTGTCCTCCTATATGCATGAAATCAAAAAAAATCATCTATGTGATTTTCATATCTTATCTATGATTACATTCTCATAGATTATATATATCTTCAATTGGTATTTCCAAACAATTACATCTATCGATCATTGTTGTTGTGCTACTGTATTTCTTGTGGTTCGTCATAATTCTTGTTCTTTGTTGTATCGTCTCCGTTGACAAGTAAGCCTCTTGGAGCCTTCTATTTTTCTACAATCAACTGTGTTTTACTATTATTTTATACATTTTTTGTTTGTTCTTCATCATTGCGTGATAGACAATAACATAATATATTTACATTTACGCTACTGTACTTCATTTATAGTTTCTTTGGACAAAGTATCAAGATTTCTCCTTACATGTATACGTATTTGTAAATTTTTTTGGTTTAGATTTATTGTTGGGATGTGAAATCACTCTTTTTATAAGTATACACACCAAGCGTTTGTACTTTTGCCTCTGTGATAATTTTTTTATTTGCCTACCTGAATTTTTGGCGTTCATTCCTTTTACCACTTATGTTTGTTTACTTGGAGAAGATGAGACAAAAGTACATAAATTATTCTAAAAGCCATAATTGATCACTACTAATTTCACAAAATGAAGTTGACATATTGGTTAGTTTTTTACTTTCATGTATTTTTTATTTAATAAAATTGCTTTTTGAAACAACCAATAATAATCGGTGATAAAGTATATTGACACATCTTGAAGTAGAAGGTATAAAGAATTATTCAAAACCATATAATGTTGCTACAGGTTGTTGATTGAACTTTTTCTTTTCACTTGTTTGGAAATTTAGATCTCCACCGAGAAAACTATGATAAATTACATCATAGGCCTTCCTAAATATGTTAAATACAAATCTAGTCCCTTGAATTTTGTTTACCCATGAAATCTTATATGGAATTCTTTTTCAAGTCGTTTGATTATGTGTTGTAGTAATAGACACCATCTGTTTTCTATAACGTGACCATTAATTGATGAGTATAGTAATGATATTATGTCTTTGAAGTGTCTAATTTCCCTTTTCCGGGAAATGAACAGGAAATGACACGGCTTAGTCTAACTAGTAGCAAACATAGAAAAAAATAAGTCCAATAGTCGTTACATTTTGGAATGAAGTTATGACAACTATTACATGGTTTTTTATCATGGCGTACGATTTACAACAAATATGGGGGGGGGGGGGGTAAAGCACTTATCAACTCTTCGGATGTAGATCGACAAGCAATATTGCACAAATAAGCTTACAAAAGTGACACTACATACATATCACACCTTAGGATGACCAGAAGATGTTTCACAAAGTTGTGTGACATGCTTCACACATTAGGTGGGTATATGGATATTGATGAGCAAGTGGCCACTTTCTTCACATTATTGCATATAATGTGAAGAATTGGGTCATGATAGGTCGCTTCCAACGTTTTGGAGAAACAATTAGCAAAATTGTAACGTGAGTTTGCAATGCGGTGATAAGGTTGCATCCACATTTGCTTAAGAAGCCCAAACTTGTTACAGAAATTTCTACAAATCAAAGATGGAAGTGGTTCAAGGTATAAGTATTACTTATAAAATTTTCAATTAGTACATGAACTGTTTGATATAACATATGTCCATTTCTTTTTGTATATCGTGTAGATCTGTTAAGGAGATTTAGATGGAACACACATAAAGTGCTTAGTTCCACTTAAAGACAAGCCTAAATACAGGATGAGAAAAATGATATTTCCACAAATGTCTTAAGGTGTGTTCACAAGATATTCAGTTTATTTATGTTTTATCGGGATGGGAGGGCTCAGTTGCGGATGGTAGACTGCTTCGAGATGCCCTACTTAGGTCACATGGATTGAAGGTCTCGAGGTCGGGTATGTATAATAATTGGTATTGTAGATATGTATTAGTTATTAATTATTATTTATACTAACTATACTACATATATAGGTTATTATTTGGTAGATGTTGGTTATACAAATGGTGAAGGTTTCTTGGCCCTGTATAGAGGTCAAAGATATCATTTGAATGATTGGCATGATGTGCATTCATCTGCGAAAAATGTTATAGAGAGATGTTTTGGTATTTTGAAGGCAAGATGGGGAATTTTAAGGGACAACTCACATTATCATATTGATCTAAAAAATAAGATCATAATGGCATGTTGTCTTCTTCATAATTATATAAGGCAGCAAATGACAATTGATCCATTTGAGAACCGCTTTGAACTAGACTAGTGAATCGGAGATGTCGGCGTTTCCAACGATGATAATATTACTTATGTTGGTGTATCAACCGAGTGGACTACATTTAGAAACAACTTAGCGCAAACTATGTTTGATTTTTAGAATACTACGTATTGATCCTTTCTCCTTTTGTTATGTTTATCATTTGCTATGAACAAATTTGTGCTACGTTTCTTATTTTCAATAATGAAGTTTAATTTGTTTTTCCCAGCTATATTTGTTATATATATGGTTGGGTATTTTTTATTGCATACATTGTTTCATCTAATTTTTATGTTTATAACATAAGCGTGATGGAAAAAAGTAGAAAGCATTGCAACCGAACAATTACTGAAGATGTCAAAGCTCGTGGAAGCATTGGTAAACATGGTGAACATGGGAGGATTTAAAGCCGATAATGGTTTTAATCTTGATATTTTTAACATCTAGAAAACGCATTGAAGGAAAAAAAAAATCCTATCTCGTGCATAGTGGGTGAACCCCACATTGAGTCAATGATCAAAACCATGAAAAAAGTTTGGCAAGTCATTTATGATGGTGAATGTAACGGTTGAACCAACCGTTTGCGATTTTTACATATAGGTATACTATTAAAACTTTTATATATCTTGTTACTTCTTAACTATTTATATTATATTTTTATGTGCTAAGCTTTTATGATACAAATTAGGTTCATAAAGAGGCATGAAGATGGAGAAATAAGATATTTCCTGGTTATCATTTTTGGAAATGATAGAGCTCAAGGGAATAAGCCAAAGATTTTGCCCAAATGGAAGAAGATGTAAACAATGAAGAACAATCTGAACAAATAGAAGTTGGTTTTGAAGAACAAACCACAGAAAATGAAAATTCTCCAAATACAAGCTCAAACAAGAGAAAAAGAGTTGATGTTGTTATTAAGGAAATAAATATTACAGCTAACATCATTGGAGAAAAACTTGAAAAAGTAAATCAAACAATACTAGGAGAAACAGAAGTAAAAAAAAAAAAAAAAAAAAAAAAAAAAAAAAACACCTTCGATGGTAATTCCTTAAATATAAAAAATGTAGTCATTGAGTGTCTTGGATAGGTTCAAAACAAGTGGGAAAATAATGCATGATCCGAAAACCATTTTAAGTTTTTGGAATTTAGAAGGAGAAGATCGGGAGGATTTTGTGAGGTTCAATAAAAAATGTTGTGATTATATAAAACTTCGTCATGTTTATTAAAAAAAATATAATTAAGGTTAAAAAATAACTAAACGGTATTTCTGTCATATAATTTGTTTCTAATTCCTTTTGTTTGGATCAACAAACCAAACAGAAAACAAATTTCATCCCATGTCAATCAAACAAATTTAAGTTTCTAGTACATTCAGATTCCAATTCCTCCATATTCCGATTCCTTTAACAAATTTCATTTCCTTAAAAACATTCTGCGAACCAAACGCAACCTTATTCTTCCTGATTTGCAGCATCGACAACAATGGTGTTTCAAATTGCTGCAACTCTTGTTGTTGATAGATCTTGGAAAATAAGAACATGGGGAAAAATAAAAACATAGCAACTTTTGCTATGTATAGCTTCAGAACATGCGAAAATATATTACTCTTTTTTCCTCCTTTTTTTATTTCTTTCTTCAAGCTTGAGAATGCAGTATTAAGAACCACTCCAAAAAAGACCTTGTTTATCGGGAAAAAAACACACACACAACTTTAGGCATGTTTGGTTCGTGGATTCCAGAATCAAACAATTAGAATCAAACATAATTGGAATTTAAGGCGTATTTGGTTGCCAAAAAGACTAAATTCAATTACCTCCTATTCTTAAAATTCTTAATGAATTTTACTATTCCTAGAAAGGTCGTCAGAAAGAATTCCATTTCATTCTTCTATTAGTAAAGACCAAAATACCTTTCATTATATACATTGAAATTAATAAAAATAAGAAACCTAATTATAAGTGAGTTTAAAATTTAATCGATTTCTATTATTAAGTTTCGTTTCGACTCTGCCAACAAAATATGCGACATTACAGTTCCTTCGTATTCCAATTCCCTCCTATTACAATTCCTTAAAAAAATTATTACTTTCAATAACATTAAGCTAACCACATACTCCCTTTATGTGTGAAAAAAGAAAAGCGGATCTTCATATTAGGCCATGAATTAAGGTCATGTGTATAACCCGTGTATAACCCGAGTAATCCGCACGCATGCAGGGTCCAAAACTCTCTCCACCCACATGACTTAATTTTCAAATAAAGAGTTTTATTTCTATTCCCTGTGTAAACTACTTTTCGCATGCACCCTGCATTTTGTCATACCAATAAAGAGGTAAGAATTTATAAATGAGGTTTCTGGTTCAAGCATAAACATTGCTTTGGGACATAGTGATTTACCTCTCCCATGTTTGACTATTGGATAAGTTGGTGGGGTGCCTTTAGGTAGCGTTTTACCCTTTTATTTCCACGTGTAGGTCAACCGTCATGATAAATTTCATGAGTTTCTATCCAATAATGAATGCATATATCTAAGGAGTACCCTAATTATAAAGGTTACAATACACTTGTCATTGTTCAAAAGCCACGTTTAAAAGAATGTCTAACACCGACAATGTAAAGAAATAAATATCTTAAATTAACGAAAAAAAAAAGTTTGAGACGATAAACTAGATCAAATATTCGGAAAACAATAGGCAATCTACATTATAATCTCAAATTGTACCTCATTTCTTTGGGAATCCTGCCGTACAAACTGTACCTTGTTTGTTGGCCAGTCCCACGGTATCGATTGTACCTTGTTTTTTGGCCAATCGTGTGGTGTCTCGTATGAGTTTTTCACTTTGAGATCAATCAAGCTAAATATTTTGCTTCAGAATGAATTCCCTGCAGCCATACTTGAGCTACCAAAGTTGAAAATTCTTGATGAGATATCCAATACCAACCTCACTGGTTCCTTTCTTAAATTCCGTAACAACTTACTTGAACATGTGGATCTAGCTTACACAAGTTTCTTTGGGGTTGTACCAGAATCCATAAGCAACCAAAGCCATTTGATACCATTGGGTCTTACCCGGTGCTCGGTGCTCTTTCTCGAGGTGCTTCAAAGTTCACTAAGTGCAACTGCCAACCGGCTCCCTTAGGTCTTGCTTTGATCATAACAAATTCAAAAAGGAACGTTTGCCCAATTGTCTTAGCAAGCTTACTAAACTTAACGAAATGTATGTACAAGGTAAAAGGTTGGTTACCAATAGCTAACAGGATAAACAACACCCAATGATATGTGAAGTGAAATCCCTTCGAGTGTCGGATTTGTCTTCTAATATGAGTGGAACCCTTCCTTCTGTTTCGGCAGCTTAAGCAATTCTCGTTGTTGGTTTTGAATATGAGACAAAATGACTTTCATGGCATGATGATGAATGTATTTATTTATAGAAGCATATATTGCGCGTGACAGAGCTTTGTGTAAGGACCAATAATATATCCTATGTTTTAGGTTGCTTATAGATTTCAGTACAATCCCAAAGAAACCTGTCTAAGTTTAAATTAACATGTTCAAGTAGGTTGTTACAAAATTCAGGAAAGGAACCCTTGAGGTTAGCATTTGATGTCACATTAAAAATTTCCAATTTTGGTAGCTCAGTATGGCTGCAAGGGAATTGATTCTGAAGTAAACGATTTTTTAGCTTGATTGGCATCAAAGCAGAAAATATACAGAATTGGTAGCTCAATCATCGCTGCAGGGAACTGAAATAACACAATTGTTAAAGTTCTGTAAAAGCATGTTCATCGAGTTCAAGGTGATAAAGTTAAAAACGAATATGTTCATCAATCTAAACAACATAATTTGTTAAGTTCCCATATTTTACAATACGACGGCCAGGTTTCCTCTCACCTTTTGTTTCATTCTAATCATATTTTACAATAATTATACAATTATACCATCGATTACTGGATTTATGTATCCAATACATATATACATCAAGATCAAAGAAGGTCAAAAACAAATATGTATCAAGATTACCTTAAAATTTCACCGAAATCATCATCAAATTTTAGCCAAATCGAATCATGATACTCTCACCACTGTTTTGTTCGACTTTTGTTTTGGACGTATAGTTGATTCTTGAGCCGACCCTATCCTCCCATTTTTATTTTTTGATGGGGCGAGTAAAATATCTCTTTGTCGCTCTTATATATTTATTTACAACTTGCACCTTCAAGATTTAAGTACTTGGCAAAAGAAACAACTCTACCCTGAATTATTTCACTAATATATATTCTTTTTTTCGAAAATAAAAAAATATTTACAAAAATCACCATATATTTATTGAGATCGCAAATCATCCAATTTTTTTCATAAGTTTAAAGCGAGGTCCCATTAATATGTAGTTTGCTCTAATTTGTACTAAACATTTATAAATAGTTCTTTTCCGTTAAAAATCTGTAACATTCCGATGTTCAGGTATTTCTAAATTCATCCCTATAAATTTTTATATGACATTTTCGTCCCTAAGTCTAAAAGAATGTGCCTTGAAGCCCTAGTGGCAATATTGTAATTTGAGGCAGGAGGAGTACTGTGACTTCCCAAATTCATGGTCATTTTAAAAAATTTTATTTATGTTTATTTAAAAATCAGAGTATCTTTTTTGAAGAATAATGTTGCGGAATGTATTTCCAGAAAACATAATAAAGATATTATCAAAGCATTTCCGAAAAAATGTATTTTATTTATTTTAAAAACATTGGGATGTCATCGTCAATACAAAAACATAAGCATAACGAAATATTACAAGTCTTACAGTAATTAAACTAATGGCTTAATATTCCTTGAATCTCTCAGCTAGATGTATCTTTAATATCGCTACATGTGATACAATAAACTGAGTGGGTCAGGTTGGGAAACCTGGTGAGTACATAGGGTTTTCAACCCATAATAATATAATTAATATGTTTAATCATCAAACAACTAACCCAATTTCCCATCCCCATTATCTTCTTTATTCTTAAGGATCTACCCTAAGGATCATCTATTCTTCATTTATTCATTCCTAAGGATTGTCCTAACGAATAGGCACGAAGTCCATCGCTGCCAGGGTTTATCCAACAGGTACTAAGTTCATAGCTGCCGATGTTATCTATTAGGCACAACTATCAATGTTATCTATTAGGCACTAAGTCCATAGCTACCAATGTTCATCTATAAGGCACTAAGTCCATAGTTGACATTGTTCATCTATAAGGCACTAAGTCTATAGTTGTCAATGTTCATCTATATGGCACTAAGTCCATAGCTGCCAATGTTCATTTGTAAGGCACTAAGTCCATAGCTTCTAGGGTTTTTAGAGTACATCTGGTGAACATATCGTTCACAAACCTACAAGTTGCGAGTCTGCTAGCATTCCACTGGACTGTCTAGAATAGTCTGTGGTCGTCATCTATACTCTGCCAGATGACTGGATCATCGTTAAAGTCAAGGCTTCTCATCATCTTTCTCCTCTCATCATCTATATCATCATTCATCTATCCATCTTTACCCAATATATTTATAGGTATAAAAATGTATATACAGTTTAAATCACGTAAAACATGTATAAATCGTTCAACTAGCATAGATATCAGGAACATAGATAATAAGCACATATAGCATGTATTAATATTAAAATACTTCATATCTATGTGTAAGATGAAAGTAACTATGCACTCACTTGTTAAAATGACGACTCGAAATTCGGGCAGTGCTTCACTTCTAACAATTGTCTTTTCCTTTGACGAAACCTAGTATTATTATCACTAAGTTATGGTCTAATATTTATTATGACTAAGTATTAGTCTATATTCATCATTAACTCAAAGTCTACTTCACGGTCTATCAACTAAGGAACAACCAGGTAGGATCATATCGGAGGTATGGTCCGTTTGGTATACGAAGTATACTGTTTGGAAATCTCACTTTAAACACCTCACTAAATTATAACCTATACATCATCCCCGTAAGTAGATCAATCGGTATAACGACTTGGAATCATTGTTAATCACCGTGTAAAATTCATAACTTTTACATACGGACTCCGTTTTCGACTGTCTTTTTATCGTTGAACTCCTATTAATGAGATCTTTAATTCTCATTTAGATCATTTTGGCTAAAAATTGACCGATCTAAAATTCGATTTCTGAGTTGTATACTGCTACGCTGAAACTTCGAAAAATCATAACTTCCTCTTATGAAGTCAGATTTGGACGTTCTCTATATGCACGCTCTCGGTTTAACGAATACTATGACTTTAGTTTAGATTACTAAGGCTAAAAAGTAATTTATCAAAAATTTACTTTTTACGATACGTGGAGCCGTGTCGGTTTAATCGTGAAACTTCGACGAGTCATAACTTCTTCGTTATAAGTCAGATTTCAACGTTCTTTATATGTATAGGAATCTTTGTGACATATACTATAAATTTATTTAAGATTATTTATTCTAAATAATCTTCTATCAAAAAGTCATTTTTAATGCTTATTATCTCTAAATTGACTAGCCTGAATCTGTGGGCATTACATTTATGTCCCCCTTTGGATGATTACGTCCCAGAATCATCAACAAAACAGGGCTTGTATAATGACTTCACACGTTATCTTTTCATCCTAGGTAATAACCATAACTCTTATGTTCTTTCAAATGAGTATCTAACTCTTGGGTGTTGTTTGTTTTTTTCGTGTGCATATCTTCTTAGCCTCTTCAGTATGCGCCCCGCAGACCACGCGCAGACATTAGTCTTTGCAGATTGTTTGTTTTTTTGAAGACTGCAGACCAAAAAAGGTCAGCGCATCCTCTTCTTGGCACAAATGTGGACCAGAGTCTTCAAACCTCTTCAGATATCTTCTAACCTAAGAAACACATATTGTTTTTTTTTTTTGTTTTAAACTTAGATTTATTCCAACTTTATCTATGATAAATAAATTGGAAAAAAAGTTATAATACTTAAAGAAAAAAAGGTTCGATAACACAATCATGACCTTTGTGACAAATTTATAAATAAATATTTAATTACAATAATAATTTGTGGTGTTCTTTATATAGATATGCAAAAAAAAACAAATCATAATATTGTCTTATATTTTTTTGCCAAATTTTATAAAACATTATTTAATGCAACATCGTTCATTTCTTGGAAAAAATATTTATGGTCATTTTTTAATTGATTTAATTGAAAAAGTAAAATAAAAACTTTGAAAATTTTCATTTAAAATTAAAGTTTATTTCCATTCATGTTATATGTTAAATTATTTTATCCCTAATTACAATGTTTAGGTATAACTTTACGACCAAAGTTTGTGTAACACCCTGTTTCGAATCGTTACCCATTTGGGCGTGGGTGATGATATGTAGATGGTTCGGGCATTCAGAATTGGTTTTGGTGTCAAGGGGTATTTTGGTAAATTAGCAGCAGGCCTTTGTGGAATTGGATTTTGTGTTCGGGGAACTTTAAGTCAAGCATGAGTTGATAATGATAAGAACAATATCTTGTAAGATCGATATATTCTATAAACGATGTGAATAAACAATAAGAACAATGATGATCAAAGTGTTGACCGGGGAACCGCCGAAACCGGTCCCGGAACCGGAACCGGTACCGGAACCGGAACCCGATGGAACCGGTCGGGCCGGGACCGGTACTATAATCTCGTCAATTTTTGGAACCGGGACCCGGTAAGAACCGGTCATTGGAACCGGCCCAAAACCGGGAACCGGACCGGATAACTCACTCAAAATTTGAAAGTTGCATAACTCACTCAATTTAACTTTTTTTGACCTGAATCTTTTTCCTACATGTAGATTATGATTTGTACTTAAGTTTAGACTATAAAAACGCTTGATTTGGTTAAAAATTGAATAAGTTACAAGCCCCGCAAGGAAGGGTATCAAATCAGAATTTTTTTTATGTTTCAGCAATTAAATGTAATCTGACTTTGTTGTTCAAATGTGCATAACTCACTCAATTTAACTTGTTTTGACCTGAATCTTTTTCCTACATGTATATTAGGATTTGTAGTTAAGTTTAGACTATAAAAAACGCGTTGATTTGGTTAAATTGAATGAGTTACAAGCCCCGCAAGGAAGGGTGTCAAATCAGAATTTTTTTTATGTTTCAGAAATTAAATGTAATCTCACTTTGTTGTTCAAATGTGCATAACCCACTCAATTTAACTTCTTTTGACCTGAATCTTTTTCCTACATGTATATTAGAACTTTTTAGTTAAGTTTTGACTATAAAAATGCTTGATTTGGTTAAAAATTGAATAAGTTACAAGCCCCGCAAGGAAGGGTGTCAAATCAGAATTTTTTTATGTTACAACAATTAAACGTAATCTGAATTTGTTGTTCAAATGTGCATAACTCACTCAATTTAAGAAATGCATTGTAAGAAATGCAACCGAAAGAGTCACACCACCAAATACTGTAGAACTTATCCATGACAGAATCGTCAGCCAAACAAAAACAACAACAACTGCAACAACCTTAACAACAACACACAATGATGAGACCAGTCACACCTGCTGTGGGTGTGGAGGAACCGGTCACTTCAGGTGCAATTGCCCCAAGGCTAACAATCAAGGAGCAGAAGGATCAGGAAGGGTCCTGACCTTGGGTCAACAACCCCAGAAGCTAAACGAAGCCTTCACGGTGGAGATGGCTAATAGGAAAAACCGAATTAACCTAGGATATTTATGTAGAGTACACCTTAACACTAAACAACCATTCATTTCAAATAAATTTAATGCCAGTAAATATTATGAGTTTTGATGTGATAATCGACATGGTTGGGTTAAGCCCCCACCGTGCTGATACTATGTGTCGCGAGAAGGCCGTTTCCCTTCACCTTCCTAATCACGAAACTCTAATAATCCATGGTGATAAACCTGGCGCCAATCCTCGTCTTATCTCGTGCATCAAGGAACAGAAGTGTCTGCACCAGAAGAACTACGTTTTCCTCGCTCATGTTGTGGACAAGACCAAGGAAGAAGTAAGCATACAAGGTATTCCAGTAGCATGCGATTTTCCGGATGTATTTCCCGAAGAACTTCCGGGAATATCCCAGAGAGACAGGTCGAATTTCGAATCGACCTCATACCGGGAACCACATCAATTGCCAATTCACCCTATAGGTTGACTCACGCCGAAATTTAGAAGTTATCCTGTCAATTAAGAAAATTTTTGAGCAAAGGATCCATCGGACCAAGCTTCTCACCCTGGGAAGCTCCGATATTGTTCGTCAAGAAGACGGATCCTTCAGAATGAGCAGCGATTTTAGGAAATTGAATAAGCTCATTATCAAAAACCGATACCCACTCCCTCGGACTGACGACCTATTTGACCAGCCGCAAGGAGCTAGTTGCTTCTCCAAAATAGATCTAAGATTCGGTTATCATCAGCTCCAAGTCCGAGAAGAGGACATTCCAAAAACTGCTTTCCGAATTCGTCACGACCATTTCAAATTCATTGTGATACCCTTCGGTCTAACGAATGCTCCCACGGTATTCATGAACCCTACGAACTGAGTTTTCCCAACCATTCCTAGTCAGCCTTTTCATTATTTTCATCAATAACATACTCGTCTGCTCACGAAGCGAGAACAAAACACTGTAAACATCTACGACCAACCTTGAAAGCATCAAAGTCGGAGAATATCGTGAAGAAAGCACTACATGGATGGATAAAACTCACGAAGTCGAAGGTTTTGGGGGTCATATAACCTCAATCTCCCAAGGTTTTGGGTGAAGATCTACTTTGACAGTCGTGGCCCGTATCATTCTCAATGCAACACCGCTTCGATTTTTTTTCTTTTTAATTTTGACTTTTTTGCTCAAATTTAATGACCTTCTCTTCTAACCTTTATTTTACTAAAAAATTTATCAAATATATAAAAGTAAAAAAAATATTAATTAATTAGTTTGCTATTATAGATGGTTAATCCTAGGAATCTGCATATTAACCGAAAAAATCAAACCAAAACCAAATTAACCGAAATAACCGAACCATTACTAAAAAATATGATGTGGTTTCTATTTTTGATTAACCAAATACATATGGTTCGGTTATGGTTTTCATCTAAAACCGAACCAATAATATTAATAAATGTTTTAGTATAATATAATATTAAATATATGGTATGCAATTATATTTGGAATTGATAATTTAAAAAGTAATTATTTGGGATTAAATGGGATACCTAATTTTCTATTATTTTAATAAGGTTATCGACAATGAATCGTTCATTTTTTTTATAACAATGTACTTTAGGTTTTTCAGTTTTTATAGCAAAGTATTTTTATTTTTATCTCATTTTCGTTCATTATGATTAACCAATATTAACCACTAACCATAACCATTAACCAACAAAAACCATTAACCAAAAGCAATATTAACAAATACCCAATGACTATCAAAATGCATTAACCACTTATAATGGTTATGGTTCGGTTTTAGCTAAAAACCAAACCAAACCGTCTCATACACACCCGTAGTTAATCCAATCGAAACACTACATTTCGCAAGGTTAACCAAAAGTATTAATTTGATGATTTATTAATTCTAGACCGAAAAGATTAGAAACAAACATAATCAAATCCTCCCTAATAAATGAAAATAATTTTGTCACTTGTCATCCTCTTATGCATTATGTCACATGTCATTTTGTGGTAATTTTAGATTAAATTATATCCATATGTTATTTTGTGGTTTTTTCTATTTTATAAAATTTCATATAATATTTAAATGAAATAAATGCAATAATAAATGTATATCCAATTCATTAATGCAACTTTTCTTATAATTTCTAAATTTCTAAATTGAATCCAATTATTTTAGTTGTTTATTTATTTAAATTATTAGTTTAAATTTAAAAAATAAATAAACACTTCAATTTTAATAATTAAATATTTTTCTTTTTTTCTTATAAATTTAAATTTTTTAAATTTTTAGATCTTCATGTTTATTTTTTTTTTGAATGAACTCATGTAATACATGGATCTCACAACTAGTAGTATTAACAAAAACAAATAGCTTCGTCTTATCGTTTTTATATCAATAATCTTTCCAAATAATAGATGATTTGTTTTTGTTTGAGTTGAGTTATTTATGGAAAATAATAAACAATATTGATAATTCCATATTTCCAATTTCAGGCTAAACAAAACTCGACCAAACATCCTACTAAAAATAAAAAACTGCTATTTTTCATTAAGCATACACGACCAAACTCGTGAACCGTAGATGAAATGGAAAACGAAAAATCGAAGGTTTTATCGATTTGACTAGAAAAAAAAGTTGGCTAACTTGAAAATAAAATGGGTATGTGGTATGTCGATTTTATGTCATATGTAAATGTTTCTATGAATTATTTAGTTATACGTATATAACTTATTATTTATAAAACTAAAAAATTAAAAATAATAAAAGTTCATTACCAATTTTATATATATATATATATATATATATATATATATATATATATAGATATATATATATATATATATATATATATATATATATATATATTAAAGTTATGAAAGATTTTAATAGTAAAGTGGTACATTTTTTGTCAATTTTGGTCCTCCAACTTACAACATTGACCATTCATCTTTATGCTTTTGTTCACAAACAACCCTTTCACTTTGGTTTGAATTTTTCATATCTCTCGCCTTTTATTACATATTATTAGTATTTTGCCTTTTGGCAATTACACGATTGGTCCCTGTGGTTTACCAGATTTAACATTTTCTTTTTGGTTTTAAATTAATGTTTTATTTATTAGAAAATACTCACCCAATACCATAAACTCACCCACCATCTACCATCACCACCACCACCACCACCACCAAAATTACATAAATGGTCCATATGGTTTACCCATGGTGACAAATTCAGTCCCTACCACTTGAAAAGACCAAATTACCCTCACATTAACGGACAAAAAGCAACCAACATGCTACTTTACTTTACAAAGCAATACCTTCCGACCCCGACAACGCCGGGGAATCTTTTCTAGTTAAGATTATAAAAAAACAACATTTTCTAAAACACGACATTTTTTCCATCGAGAGTTTCTAACACGCAAAAAGAATGTTACTTTCTTTTCCTTCCTTTTTACTTTTTTTTTTCTCCAAGCTTGAAAAGGCATTTTGATTATATGTTAATGAATTCCTGAATCAAAATTAATTGGAATATGAGATGCCATTTGAAGGGGTCTTTGGTTGCAAACGAACGGAATTCGATTAAGCTCGTATGCTTCAAATTTCCATGTTTGATGGATTTTACCATTCTCAGGGGTGACTGAAGGAATTCAATTTCATTTTTTTTTGTTAAGACCAAAATACTCTCATTATATGTATTGAAATAAATAAATATTAATAAGTACAATTAAACTTAAAATTTAATAAATTTCATTTCATTTCCTATCAAACAACAAATTATAATTCCTTCATATTCTAATTCCATTGACAAATTCGGTTGATTTCACAAACATTCGGCAAACTATACGCTTTAGAAAAGAGAAAAACAGATCCTAAGACTAGGCCATAATTCAAGGTCCATGAGCATAAACCCGGCTAATCTACAAGCATGCATATTCCACCCAAATGACTTAACTTTCAAATAAAAAGTTCATTTCTATTTTATATGTAAACTACTTTTTACATGCATTCCCTGCATAGTTATCCTAACAGCAATTGTTTTGAGACAACAAACTAGATCAAATGTTGGGAAACCAATCACAATTACTACATTGCAATCTACAATGTTAGACTATAAATGTACCTCATTTCTTGGCCAATCGTGCCATATGATTTGTACCTTGTTTCTTGGCCAATCCTCTTGTATGGATTTTTCAATTTGAGATCAATCAAGCTAAGTTTTTTGCTTCGGAATGACTTCCCTACAGCCATATTTGAGCTACCAAAGTTGAAAATTCTTAATGTGACATCCAATACCAACCTCACTGGTTTCTTTCCCGGGTTTCATAACAACAGCTTACTTGAACATGTGAATCTAACTTACATAGATCTCTTTAGGATTGTACCAGAATCCATAAGCAATCTAAACCATTCGATATTATTAAGCCTTACCTATTGGGCACATTCCAAATTCATTCTCTAATTTCACACAATAACATTGCCTTGGGTCTTTGCTAGCAATAAGTTCACATGGTTTGTTCCTTCATTGGTAATTTTTTTGAATCTCAATGTTTTGGAACTCAATGGTATATATTTGAAAAGGGACGCTTGCAAAATTGGCTAGGCAAGCTGACCAAACTTGATGAATCTTATGAACAAACTATGAAAATATAAACCACATTTGGTTGTGAAGTCTTGAATAATAAGCTGACATGACAAATAACACCATTGATATGTGATTTGAGTGTTAGATTTGTCTTTAAACAACATTAGTGGAATCCTTCCTCTTTGTCTGTGTAGCTTACGCATTTCGTTGTTGGTTTTGAATATGAGACAAATGACTTCAATGACATAATGAGTGCCCGAGAAAAAACATCGTGAAAAGACCAATAATATCAAATGGTTTTAGGTTACTTATAGATTCTGGTACAATCCTAAACAAACCTGTCTAAGCTAATCCACATGTTCAAGTAAGCTATTGTTACAAAATTCAGGAAAAAAAACATTGAGGTTGGTATTGGATATGGCATCAAAAATTCCCAACTTTGGTGGCCCAATACGGCTGCAAGGGAATTCATTCATTCTGAAGTAAACAATTTTTCAGCTTGATTGACCTCAAAGCAAAAAATATACAGGTTTGGTAGCCCAAAAACCCAAAAATGCTGCAGGGAATTACAACAACACATTTGTTAAAGTGACGACCAGATTTTCCTCTCAACTTTTCTTTCATTCTAACCTATTTTGCAATCAACTAAAAGTCTTCATTACATATATAATATAATATGCTTGAAGATGAAAGAATTAGAATTAGGTGAGATAAATGCATCGAGATTACCTTACAACTACACCCAAATCGTCATCAGATTTTGGCAACATCGAAGCATAATACTCGACTTCTGCTGAATCCGATCTCCAATTTCCCTATCCTACCCATCCCTCTCTCTCTTTAGAATTTAATAAATAACACCTCTATCCTCAATTATTTCCATCAACCTTTTTCCTCAATAAATGTCTGCCGACATCTTCACATTAATAATAACCTTATTATAAACAAATATACTAAATATATTGTTGGTCCACCTGATTTTTTATTTTTTATTTTTTATTTTTATTGGAGGCTTTTATAACGTCTTGTCATTTACAAGTAAAACCATTATATTTTTCAAAAGTAAGGTACAAACTCAACCACAAAAACTAATTGTTTTATTTGGAACATAAACCAATAATGCTAAGATAAAAGATTCTTTTTGACACCAAATTGGAGGGACGAAAAAAAAAGTAATTTGCTTTAGAAATATTTTGAGCCATAATAAAAAAGCAATAAGTAAATATAAAGCATAAGACCAACAAAACATATTGTTTATAATAAAAAAATAAATTCTCATTTCGTAAGAAACAAAAAAAAATGTTTATATGAACTTAAATGAATCATAATAAAAAAAGTAAAAATTATGATTTTATTGAATTTGCCGATTTTCATTACATTGAATAATTGCATTTATTTGAACTAGTTTAAGATCTAAATTTGCCCATACCTATAGACAATAAGGTCTTGTTTGTTTTTTCGAAACGAAAATGATTGAAGTCTGCAGATCACATCTGTAATCATCTGCAGTAGAAGAGAGGACCAAACGGCTGCAAAACTCTGTTTGTTTTTTAATCTCTGCAGACTGCTGCAATAAACTGAAATTAATATACAATAGTTAAAATAAATCTAAGTAAAAAATTTATTTGGTTTAATCACATGCAAATCAAATATAAAGATCATTGTGATGATATGATTTTTAAATAGTTTTATATAAAAGAATTAAACATAATATTTGCTAAATAACAATAAATAAAATTATTAATTTAGCTAAAAACATGTTCAGTTTTGTTAAAATTTTGAAGACGATGATTATTTGTCCGGATAACTTCAATAAATTTGGTAATTTTAATGATTAACTTTATAATTTATTAATATTTGGTTATAGACACAATATAACAAAAAAATATTTATATGAAATTTACCAAACGGTTTTGAAATTATTTGAAATTATGTAAAATATACTCCAATTGTTTATATATTCTTTAAATATTATTAAAATAATAAACATCATGTTGAGAAAAAAAAACAAATCTGAGTTGAATAATAAGTGAGAAGTGGTTTGAAGAGGATGACACGTAGCACGGACACAACAGTTTTTAAATTAGAAGTATTCCAAAAAAACAAAAACGAAAACTATGGTATTGCGTGTGGTCAACAACTTTTGTTTTTCCCATATGAGGCTTTAGACAAAGAAAAGAGGCACACTGAAATTTTCTGTTGCAAACCTGTCATTTCTAGCCCTTATATTTACAAATTTAACCATTTTAATCCCTTATATCTATACTTTTAACTTTTTGAGCCTTTGTATGTATACTTTTGAACAGTTTACGAAGGAATATTTTGTTTAAAAGGCATGCATGTTTCTTAACTAATTTAACCAAATTTGTTTTCCTAGAATGCGATACAAATTGGATATTTCCATCAACCACCTTACAGGACCCTTTTTATTACAAAAAATTGCTAGATGAAATTACTTATTTACGCCCCTTTTTTTAATAATTGGTGATCAAAAAGCAAAACAATATTACTTGTTTACATTTTTTTAACCTAATTTGAGAAACTTTTAATTTCCCTTCACAAGATGTCTCTTCATTCGTTCACAAAAATGTTTTTTTTTTATTCATTTTATCTATCGCCTCTTTTTGTTGATAACATAGACAAAATAACATAATAAAGAAGATAATGAAATGAGTTTATATGTAAGAATGAAACTGTTTTTCATGTGGAAAGGATAACCTGGTCCAAGCTTCACTGAACGAGATTTATTCCAACCACCGAATCATAAGCTCTAATGTGCCCAAACATTCATATCAAAATAGTATTTCATCATCATCATCATCATGATTTAATTTATTTATTTACAAACAAGATACACATTAATGTAATAATCTTGAGAGGCACATTGGTTATATACCCAATCAGCCAATAAACTTATGTTTTACTCATATAACATATTTTGTAATTTGTAAAACATACCGGAAAAAATATATGTGAAAAATGTTTAGTAGTAGAGTGAACTGAAGGTAGTTACTTAGACCTCGATTCCAAGCTCCAACAACAAAGTGTGGTTGGCTCTATCAGCTTCCGCTCCAACAAACTGAATGGGACCTACACAAATATTTTATAAAAATCCATATTACTGTTTACATAACATTCCTTCCAATTCCATTCCATTAGGCGAAATAAAAAAAGTCTTTTTTCCCCCAAACATAAGTTTATTTAATTATAATTTATTCTCTTATAGAATAGAACAACATTCTTTTCTTTATTTATCAACTTTAGTACCAGGACTGATATATCTGTTTTGAAGGGCCCACTCCTCCCTCAGTGATGCAAATTTCTTGAATGGTGCACCTGAAAATGAAAATGTAATTAAATTAGGAACCAAAACTGTCAAAGAAAAATATTTCAAAGTTAGTAACTCACCATCAAGCTCAACCATCGCCTTCTTTATCACAGGCTTGAATTTACCTGCACATTTACGGTTAATTTTCAAATTTACTTTTTTGCCCCTCATAACAAAAAAAATATTGATGGCTTACCATGTCTCCTTTCCACGTCCATTAAAGAAGTCAATGGAGTTCCACCAACACTCCATTCTTCCACTGGTGCACCCAAATTTCCAACCTATCATAAATACAACATAACATAACATAACATAACATAACATAACATAACAGGTTGTACTGTGTTTGACATGTATTAGACTGTGACAGACGTCAATGATACAAAAACTGCATTTTTTGTTCCACTAAAAAGGGTGGGACAAGGGTTCAAACTCGATATCTTGTTTGTGAAAAAGACGAGAATGCCCTCCTCACCCTCATCATCGAAATTACATTTATAAAAGAAAGATACATACGGAAGATATTAGTCCGGATTTGCCACCCTGGAGTAGAGCTCCAGCACCATAACCCAATGCATAACAGTAAGAAGAGTCAAAGTTTGAAGGCAAACCACATCGTCCTTCATAACTGACACATACAAATGAAATCCCACATATTAATATTAATATTATGAACACTGCAACCTACTTTCATTTATTTGTTTATTAAAGCAATTACTACTTCCAAAAACAATGCCTTAATAAGACAAAAGTTGAAAGTAGAATGTTATAATTGGGTAGATTTGTTTCAAAGAAAGTACCCGAAAAAATGGGACTGGCCTTTAAAGTGGCATGCATATTGGCCCACTTGCTTCCTCTTCTCTAATTCACTTTCAACCATTTGCATAAGCATTTTCTCTGTTTCTATTTTCGCAACCTAAGTTAAGGTATAAATATAATAAACACATCATTTATTGAATTATGAATTATGAATTATGATAGATAATAAGCAAAGTGAAAATCACCTGGACATTTCCATGGGGATCCCTTTCAAGCATCAACTGATCTTGAATTGCAGGAGGAAGTATCTCAAAAAGCTGCAGAGACTGAGGAATAAGCTTCTCTTTCCATTTTCCACTCTCATCTACAATTCCACTTGCCAGAATTTCATTTAGTTCCGAAATAAGTTGTTGCACCTGAAAATCACAAATAAATAAATAATTACAGACAAATGACATAAATGCCCTCATCATAGAAAAATAAACCTAGAAAGCTTGTTGTAAGAGTAAATAGTAAATACCTCAGGAATGAAATCAATAAGTCCTTCAGGTATGAGTATGACACCATAGTTATAACCAA